CTAGCCAGTCACGCAACTCCTGCGGCTCTGTGCCCGCAAGCTCATCCAAGGACCTGTGCGCTGGCGTCCATCGGAACTTGGGAGGGTCCCGCAGAGTGCGCCTGCGGCTGGCCACGAATATGTCCCGCCACGCTCTAGCATGCTTGGCACGACCCTGCTCGAGCTCGGGGCACCAACGCTCTCCTTCCTGGGCGAGCGCCTGTAGGTCAGTGACGAAGCACTGGTGGTCAGGGAAAGCGTCGAGCCCCTCCCTGATCGCGTACCTCTCAGCACGGCCGACAGTCTGCACCAAGTACGGAAGGGGCCCGGATCGCGCCCTAACTGGGAGCCGTGAATAAGGATCAGGCTGCGCAACTGCTTGTCCACACCTCCGCACCTCGGGAACACCTGAGTCGTAACAAGACCCGTCGGTGTAAGAAACGGGGCCCCAAACTCCGTGGGCGTCGCCCCAAAGGCAGACCTCATGCCTCCGCGTATTTGCGTGTGGCAGAAGGGCAGGAGGCTCGGGCATGCCAAACACGAGGTAGGACTGCTCGAAGTTCGGCGTGCCTGATCCAAGACCCGCTTGGATAAGTTGGTCGCGCACCTCAGCCAGCACTTGGGGGAGGCGGAAGATACCGCGGCCATTCGGCGTTGGTGTCGCTGTCTCGGGCCCACCATGCCCGCATGGTACATCAGGCGCCAAGGCTGAAGCCGCCGCCGCAGGGGAGAACGGGTCACTCTGTTCCGAAGTAACCGGCGGTGCACAGAGGACACTCTGCGCGTCCAGCCGCGCCTTCACCAGATGGCCGTCGCACCCATCGGGTGGCATAAAGTCGACCTCTTCATCGACCCCTTGCCCGATGCCTGGGAAGAAGTCATCCTGGGCCTCCATGGCGCTGGGCTGCTGGGCGCCGGTGCGGGGCGGCAGGGTCGGATCGGCCCGACTCTCGAGGTAATCGTGAACCTGCTGGCGTAGGTCGCCAAACGCACGCGTGTTCTGCGCTTGTCGCAGGCCTTGGACATGGCCCGTCGGCTCCTGCCCCATGGATCGTGTCTCCCCTGGGGGGGCGGGGTCAGCAGCGCGGGGCATTCCAAGAAGACATGGCCCCAGCACTCGTCGGGCGCAGGGGCCTTCCCGCAAGCCTGACAAGGGCGCATGAGCCTGCCGAGCCTTATGTCCCTGTGAATCGGCATGGGTATGTTGTCAGACCATAGCGCCTGTAAGGATCCCAGCTGCCTTGCGGCACGGACACCCTTGACCACATGCCTGAGCCCACGGTGCCAGATGGGCGCACCAGCGTAGGAGTACATGTGGCTGGCGAGGCGGCCATGCTGACAGCGCTGCGCGCCCTGCACCAAGAACGGTCGTAGGTCAGCAGGGCAAACGCGACACAGGTCGCACTGGTTGCCCAGGTCGCCCTGCAGGACGTGCGGCGCTTTCATGTCCCAGGCTAGCCGCCTGAGCGTCGACCGCGTCGCGGCCAGGGGGCCTTTGGCAGTGGCCCAACTGGCCGGGACAACCCGCTCCTGGAGCGCTGTCCAAGCCCTTTGTAGACGGCCAGGTGACGCGCGCCCATCCAAAATCCAGGTGGCGTAGTTCAAGACCAGGTCCAGCGTGGCATGATAGATGGGGTCGCACTCCTCCGAAGGGTGAGTAAGAAGGCGCGCCGTGACGCCCACGTGGTGCTTGCCACTGCGCCCGTTTAGCACCGCGGCCAAGTTGCGCATCTCGCGCAGGGGCGCGTCCGCCAACCCCGACACTGCAGCGCCGTGCCCTGCGGGCGGCATGAGCCCAGTCCGCCACAGGGTGGAGGCCTTGCGCCCTACCGCGCGCCGCAGCATGAGGAGTCGGTGCTTGCGCTCCCGCGCGGCTTCCAGGCGTTTCTTCTCGACCTTCCTCAACATTCGAGGGCCATGCAGCTCATGGCCAAGGTTGCGCATATGTCGGGCTTGGGGCACCGCCCGGGACATCCGCCGCTGGGCCCTATGCACCCCAAGGCGGACCTGCGCTGACCCAGCCACCACCGCGGACTTAGCAGGTTGGAGAATAGGCCCGAGGTCCCTGGCCTCTGCAGTGAGCACCATCGCAGCGCTCAGCAGCAACTTGACATCGCCGAGGTCGGGGGATACCATCTGCAGGCCGATGTCGTCCACAAGCACACGTGGCTTGATGGTCGGCGCAACCCTGCTGGCCCGCTGGAGGACACGGTACGTCCGCAGGCAGATGAGGTAGGTGGCATGCGTGCACCCCGCCAGCGCCCCTTGAAAGGCGACGAAGGAGCTCGAGAGGCTGCCGTGCGCCTTGATGCGCCGCGGCTGCTGGTAGAGCTGCAGCAACATCCAGAGCAGGCGCATCGGGTAACCCAGCTCCCGTGCCTCCCGCACGAGCGCATGGGGACTCGCCATGTCAAAGCATTTCACCACGTCAAGGAGGCTGGTGCAAGTGTGGTCGCCTACGAGGCTTCCCACCTCTTGCTCCAGATTGTGAGCAAAAGCCGATACCGTCGCAAGTACGCAGTCGTTGCCACTCTGCCGAAAACCATCGGCGTGCTTTCGCCCAAACTCGAATGAGAGTATGGCTAAGCACAATCAGCCTGTGGCCACCATCTGGCTCAGGAGGTAGGGGGAATAAGGTGGTAAACTTTGTGGGCGTTACAAGGCGTTCCACATGCTTGAATGGCATAGCTTGGCATGGCATGGAATAGCATGGCATTGCATGGAATAGCACAGCATAGCATGGCAACACGAGAAGAGTCTAGGCTGTCGTGCGATTGCGAATGGAATTCGTTCTCTCGTGGGGAAGCGGAACCCCGAGCCGAAAATAAGAAAGACAACAGGAAGAATAAGAAGAAACACAACCCCGTTTTTTACGAAAAAACCAGAAATGATCCAACCGAAACCTCGGTTGTATTTTTTTCCAGATTTCTTGGGCAACCATTTTGTGTTTTACGGATGTTATGTTTGTTTTCGGGTGTTCTGTTTTTTCTCTGATTTCCCCCGCCCTTCTTTCCCTTAGAATTTGTTCCTTCCGAACCCGCAAATCAGGAAAACGGAAAGAAAACACGCACACACACACACGTGCACACGCAGGCACGCGCACACACACACATACACACACACACACACCACACACACACACACACGCGAACATCCAGAAAAGAACCAGGCAATCCGTACAAAATCAATGAAACCCTTTGTTCTTTAAGAAAAATCAGAAACATCAAACCAAAACCTTGGTTTTGATTTGTGTTTGCTGATTTTTCTTGGAAAACCAATGATTCCTTGATTTGCTTGCGGATTTGCTCATAATGTTTTCTGATGTCCCTCCGACCTTCTTTCCCTTAGAATGTTTTCCTCCCGAACCCGAAAATCAAAAGAAAAACGAACATCCAGAAAAACCAGACAGCCCGTCAACAAACAAAGAAACCCTTCTGTTTTCAAGAAAACTCAGGAACATCCCACCGGAACCGCTTGTGTTTATGATTTTTCTTGGAAAACCAATGGTTCATTTAGTGTTTTTACGGATTTTCTGGTTTTTCTGGTTTTTCGTTTTCTCTGATTTTCCTCCGCCCTTCATGCGCAAACCACGGGGAGGGCTCGCGCTGTTAAACTTCGTGTTATTGAAGGGGGAAATGCTGTCAAACTCTTCAAAATTTGTTGTTGGGTTCTGGGGGTTGAGGGAGATCATCATCATCATCATCATCATCATCATCATCATCATCATCATCTATATATATATATATATATATATAGATTTATGCCTGGGTTTAAGGTTTTCGCGTCGCGTTGCAGAACAGAGACGTTGCCAGGACGTCGCCAATGAAAAAGCGCGCTCGCGTTCGCCGCAGGCACACCGGAAGCGCACCGCGGGCTCACCGCTAGCTTGCTGGCACAAAAGCGCACCGACATGCATGAAGACGCGCGGCCACTTCTTTAAATTGTACGAGACGTCTGCACGTTTCGGGTGCGCCCGCGGGGCTTGCTTTTGAGGCTGGCGCGGAGGAATCACCCCCTGTTCCTTCAACGAAAAGAATCATGTTTTCCCCCAAGCCAGTCTGCAAAACATGTCCTGCCAACACGTTGAAAAACATGCAGACGCATCGCGCAAATCACGTAAATGCTTCCGTGTGTTTACGCGTGTTGGTGCGCGTTTGCGCCCAGCGCGGCGGCGGCGCGCCCGCTGCGCGCCTGCGGCGCGGCTTCCGCAAGCGAGGGAACTGCTCGTTCTTCCGCAAAGAAGGCCGCGCATTTTCGGCGCCCCTGCGGGGCAGACGGGGCCCAAGGACCACCGCAAAAAAAAAACGCAGTGCTTTTTGTGCTGCGTCGTTTCGGGCCCAGGCACTTCCACGTTGGATAACGGAGTGCGCGGATTTGTGCGAACGCCCCTCACTTCTGCGGCCTCGGTCGAATCTTGCTGACGGCGCCCCGTCGCTTGGCGCGCTGTGGCCGAATGTTCCTTTTTCCATTAAAAGGAAAGACGGCATGATACGCAGTTTTGTTTTCTAGTCGACATTCGGTTGTCTACGCGTCGGGGGGTCGCCCTTCAACGCGTTTTGACATGCGCGTAACTTATATTTTGGGGCTGCGCGAAATCAGGGGCGCGCGCGTCGGCGGCAATTCGCGCTTAAGCGGCCAGGCTTCGACTTCACATGTTTTCAGGATTGTGGTATCATAAATTGCTTCCGCCCCCGCCGAGAAGCTTGGGCCGTCTTGAGGTGAACTTGAAGTCTCCATGGGCCGTGCCAGAAGAAAACACATGTATATTTGCACCGTAGCATCAACCGCCTTGGTGCAAACTGGTCCTCGAAGGTCAGGTTTCGTACCAACCCCAATATGCACTTCAAGACGTCGCTTTCCAAGAGCGCCAGGCGGAGGCTACATGCGTCTCTGCCTTTCCTTCCAGCGGCACCTTTCCATCTACCTCAGTCAAGGATGTCGGCCAAGGCTCTCGGCCGCGCCCCTTCGGCCACTTGCGTTTCTCCGACAAGGCCTGCGACGCCGACAAGTTCCTGTGCTTCATGGAGGGCGGCGGCAAACGTGCTCGTCGCGGACCACGCGTCGGAGGTCTCCCCGCTCTGGAGGACGACGCACAGAACAACGCGGACCTCGAGCAGGAACATGGCCAGGTGATCGAGCGAGACATCATATTGCAACAGTGGGAGCCTTCTGAGTTCGCACGGTTGATTGATGACGGCCACGGGGTGGTCATCCTTCCTGAGGACGACCCAGTGGACGACTCGCTCGCCAAGATAACCGCGAGTTTCTCTCAAAAGTCAAAGGAAGAGATCCCTGTTTGGGGCCAAGAGGATCTGCCGGAGACTTGAACCACGGCCTTGAAACTCATTGCGTTGCACGTGGAGATGAATACTCCTTGGGCCCCCCGCAGCGATCTCTTATGCGCGCGTGTTCTCGGCGCTCTTTTCACGGATAAGTTCCGCGCCCACAAGGACAGCGTTGTGCAGTGCAAGGATGGCGCTTGGCGACCAGTGGAAGAACTAGACGAACGCACGCTCCGCCTCCTGGAGGAAAGCGTGGCTCGTGCTGTTCGCCTGCTCGTATGCCTGGTCCGGAACGGCGTGGCGCGGCAGTGGGTGATGTTATGCTATCTCTTCGCGCCTTCGACTACTCGGAGCTCGCGCCCGTGACGAATGCCGAACTCCGAGGACCTGGTGGAGGCAATGGCAGAGGAAGAGGCAAGGGCCATGGACGAGGGGATGCAGGGATGGACGAGCCAGAAGTCGTCGGACGTTGGCCGCTCGAACTCGCAGGCTCCATGCCCACGTTGCTTTCGAAGTACACGGGTTCTGGCCGACAGTCGCAATGCGTGAAGCTCTATGGCGCTTGGTTTAAGCGGCCGCGCCATGAGCCCAATGGCACTATGAACTTCGAGGATTGCACGCTGGTCGCGTCTGGCAATTGGGCGGCGGGGAACCACCTGGAGCAGATACCGAGGTCGCCGACTTAACGATTGCCACACGCACATCCCTGTGTCCCTCACGTACACCCCTGCCGAGGCAGACGTCGAGCGTCTCAATCTGTTCTTGTGCACTTCTTATGCGGGCCAGGCAGCGGGGCGCAGAGTCGCCATGGCCGTCGAGGCTCTCGCGATGCACGGCGAGCCTCTACCGCCGAAAATCATCGTCTTGCAGGGCGGCGGCGGCAATAGTAAGTCTGCGACGACGAAGCTGCGAGCGAATGTGTTCGCCGACTCCCACGAGTTCATGGGCGCGTCGTGTCTGCAGAAAGACGACGAGTTCAGGAAGCAGGGCGGCCAGTTCGCGGGTGCGCCCCTCTTGACCATACAGGAGTGCAGCGGCGGGGACCCATTGCAGGAAAAGGTGGCCAAGAAATTCGCCAGCGGCGAAGTACTTCCCTGTCGACCGAACTACTGGGAGACAACTGAATACTTCAGATGGCCCTCCGCGGGGAAGTTCTGGGAGCTGAACTTCGCGCTGCCCATCGTAGTCGGGGACCCGCGCGACCCTCCCTCGCTGAAGTCTTGGTGGCGTAGACTGCTGGTGGTTCCTGTGGAGAGCTCCTGCTCCGCGCCGCCCGCCGAGGTGCGCGTGGGCGATCGCGTCTTCCTCGACGACTCCACGCTCTCGCCGTTCCTGGGCAGTCGCGTCGCGCGCCACATCTACATGTGGTATCACTTGCTCCCGTTCCTCCAGAAGTATTCTGCCGACGATTGCAGGAACTTCATACTGCTGCCGGACAATGACACCCAGGATCGCACGATCCCATTCGCGCAACAGATGGCGAACGGCGGGAGGAAGCCAGTGGAAGTGGATTCGACGGCCAGCGGCAGCGGCGCCAGCGAGACAGGTGACGACGCACGGACTGTTGTTCGACATCCACGCGGCCACGCAGAAGAACCGAATTCTGGAGCCGTACGTATTCCAATCTCTCTCGGCGACGCTGGCGCCAAGCGTCCGCGACACTTCCGTAAAAGGGCAAGAAGACCAAACTGCAGAACTTAGATGACTCCATTAATGCGTTCCCGTGCCTGTTCAAGAGGCTCCCTCTGGCGGGCGGCTACCAGCAGCTCCAGATCGATTTGCAGAAGTTCTCGACAGCCATGTCCCGCATGGAGAACTGCGGGGGGGAGCTCGGAAGTTTCGAAGAGCGGGGGGAGATCTGGACCGACCTGGAGCGCGGGCGCATCCGCTCCGAGCCCGATTCAAACTCTGACCCCGATACAACAGGGGCGCCGAAGTACAACCTCGCTGAGCCCGCGGCCGTCTTGCGCGAGAGAGTGGACCTGACGCAGTTGCGCGCCTATTGCGCCAAGGGCATACATAGGCTCCAGGCAGAAACAACTGGAGAGCTACATTCAATTGCACGAAGCCACGGGCGTGCAGGAGGGCGACTTCAGCACCATCGAGGTGAAGTATTACAGGCCGTGGGGCCTTCCAGGGCGGATGTACGCCTTCGGCATGGCCGCGCAGAAGCTTACGAAGCAGGCGCGCGCGGCTGCGTTCCAGGGCCACGCCGTCGACGTCGATTTCGTGGCTGCCTTTTCCCGCTTGGGCTATCGCGAGGCGTGCCGCAGCGCGAGCAACTCGACCGCCTACGGCATCTGGAGGAAGTCAATTATGCACGCGGGCGCCTGGAGGGGCTCCGTCCAGGACTACATGGAGATTTCGGACGACGAGGCGAAGAAGGAGATCACCAAGCTGTTCTTCCTGGGCACTCCGACGAACGAGCTGCCGCCGCTATGCGCGCTGTGGCGGGAGGTCGACGAGGGCAAGCGCGTGATCATGGACAGCCCCCGCTTCCACTACCTGCACGACCAGTTCGATGATCGTCGGACCACAGGTGCGGCCCGCTTCGCCTACGCCATGTTCGCGCTCGGAGACGAGGAGCTGGCCAAGCTTGTCGAAGCGATCAAGGGCCATGACAGCAGCACGTAGGCGTTGGTTTACATGTTCGGCGGGGCCATCATGTCTACGCCCGCTGACCCCGCAACGATCCAATCGGGGGTCGACGCGTACGAGGACACCAGCCAGGGCATCAGCGCAATCGTGAAGCCGTTCGCAAGCTACGATGAGTGAGCGTCGCAAACAGAGCGCGGTCTTCTCATGGGCGGCCAGTCCATCTGTCGAGAGCTACGGTATCTCAACTTTATTGTGCGGGACAAATTCAACACCTCCTGAGCGAAACCGATCTCGCCGACCGAGCGACTCCCCCCCGCACCATCGGTTCTCAGCGTTTCTGGCCGTGGTCCGAGCAACGTTCGGGTATGTGGGGGACGCCCTGTGCGGGGTGCGCTTCGGTGTCGTGTTATTTTGCGTTGCGATTCCCGAGCATGCGCGTTCGGCGAGATCGGTTTGGTCTAGAACTTGTCGTCATTGTATTGTTGCGGGCGCAAGCGGGGAGCATCGCTGTGAGACCTTACAAGCTCATTCAACATTCAGTTCGTCACTCGTCGCATGACTGCTCAAGCGATGCAGCGCCAGGGGGTAAGGCGCGCCTGCATCCGCCATGGTGGGCGTTTGCAAGAAGCCTGCGAGCGCGCCGCTGCAGCCTCTGCCTGGCTACGCGGGGACCCACTTGACCAACTGGGTATGCGGGGGCAACCCCACATGGTTCCGCAACGCGCCCGCGCTCGTCGTTGCTCTGAACGGGGTGTCCGACATTACGCATGGGATAAAGCGGTGCCAGCACTACCGTTACCGCACCATGTACATGTGCAACTTATACGCGGCGGCGCACGGCCACGTCAACACCTGCGGGGTTTCCGACTTGCGGGGCGGCATTCTCTTCGTCTCGGCGGGGCGAGCGTTCGCGTTGAAGTTCTTGGAGTATCATGGGTGTCTGCTGTTTCGCGGCTTCCCGCCGTCATGGAGCGCGTCCTGGTCATGCAAGCAGGTGCGCGGCTCAGCCGATGCGTCGCCGATTTCCACAAGCAGCTCAACGACGCCATGTGCATGCAGGAGTTCGAGCCCATTGGGCAGCACCTGAACATCGCCATCGGCGGAGACTTGTGCGACGGCGTGCTCGCGAAGCACATCGCACACTTCCACGAGAGCGTCCTCCCCCCCGTGGATCGCGACGGGGCGCGAGAACTTGCCGCGGATGGCCACGAGAAAGCGAGGGCCCGCTGCGCCAAGAGCAAGCCGTCTTAGGTGATGTGGGAAGACACGCACACGCACGGCTTGTTCATGGTCGTCGACCCAGCCTCGCAGGACATCGTGGCCGTTAGCGAGCAGGTCCAGCCCGAGAACAACGAGGTGTTGAACAAAGCGCTGGACATGGTGCTGCCGCTCTACCCCCGCTGCAACGCGCTGATCATGGACCGCGCGTGCTCCTTCATGCCGAGCGCGCAGAAGCGCTGCGACTTCGACCAGCTGAAGTACTGCAGCGTGGATAAATTCCACGCGCGCGGGCACGCGGCGACCTGTCCGTGCAACCCTCTGAAGGCGTTGCGGCTGAAGAGGCGAGTGAACACGATCAACACAGCAGCCGCGGAACAGCTCTTCTCGTGGTTCCGCGTGTACGCGAGGACGTTGAACGAGATGCGGAGGTCTCGTCACAAATTCAGTGCGATGTACTTCTGCCGCAAACGCAATGAGCTCGTGGACGCGCGCGGCACCGACCACTTGAAGAAGCACAAGCTCATTGCTCCAAAGAAACAGAAGAAAGGAAAGTACCCGTGTTCCCCGAAGATCGCGAAGAAGCCCGCGGTGATGAAGAAGGCCCGCAAGCGCTGAGGTGGGGCCCTCGCGCCTCCGCAACCGCTCACTGGCCAGGGGGAACTAGCCGACGCGCTGGAGAGTTGAACAATAATGATAGGTTCAAGAACCTTGCCCTGTTCCGCCAGCCCCCATGTGACCGAGAAATCCAAGTGATGCCTGGTTGAACCGCCATCATCGACGTCCCCTGCAACGTCGACGCCGCCATTGTCAGCATCGTCGTCGTGAGCATCATTGTCATCATACCCATAACCTCATATGATCTTTATCGTCGCTAGCGGAAGCAGGCCAAAAAATTACCACCCTTTTCCCCTGCTCTCGAGGCACAGGGAGGCGGACCATCTCACCATACAGGCGGTCTGGGGGAAACCGTGAGCGCTGCTCGAACACCTCGAACATCTGTGCCAACCTCCGGAGAGCCTCATCTGATAAGTGCTCGAGCGCCTTTGGTGGAATGTGGGTGGGCCCCGAGGCAGTGACGAGAGAGAAAGATCGGATGGCCTGCCGTAGGTCATGGGCCGTCAGGCTAGGCAGCTCCTCCCAAGCAAGTGCATCCGTGGGTAGAGCCAGCTCTTCCAGCCCATGGGTCACCCAGATCCTCTGCCACCCGTCCATGGTGCGGTCCGAGAGGATGTATGGCTGGGCGTCGGCCCCAGGGGCAACGAGCCCTTGCTGCGCCCTGACCTTGGATGCAGCATGGGCAGCCTTGACTCCCCCGTTCAAAGCCGCCTGAGCCCAGCTGCGCCAGGCTCTCTCCGACTCACCACGAGCCGCAGCAGTGAGGTCCTCCGCGCGGCCCACGATGGCATCTACCATGTCATCAAAGCCCTCCGCAACCAGCCCGTCCAGCCCGCGCAGGAAGAACTGGCGGTAGCAGGGGTCGATGTTGGTGAGGACTTCGTCCTGCCCAGCAATGGATCTCAGGAAGCAGAGGATGTCGTAGAAGACACTAGCCGTCTTCTGCAGCTGCCTGCGATGTGGAGACGCACGCACCGCCACCGCATTCAACCAGTAACAAAAACGCTGCACCCGATCACGCCCGGCACGAAGGTGAGTCGCCCAGCGTGCTGTAGTAGCCCAAGCCCAGACTGCGGTGTCGTGGCACAGCCGCTCGCGAGGTGGACCCCACCGCAACTGCCGCCACTTCACCATGGGGGGACCGCGGTACCCGACGAAGCGGTTGGCTCCAGGGCCAACTTTGTCGCGCCTGCCTGGAGCTGCTGCACGACCTCATCGGGTGCACCTGCCTCGCCGACGGCCTGTCCATGGGCCCAGGTCCGACGGCGATAACGTTGGCCCGCGCGTCCCGATCGATCGCGCTTAGTTTTGCCTAATGGACCTAAGTGGCCGACGGACCTGCATCGGTCCCGATCGGGCCTGGACTGGACATGGTCCGCGCCAGCAGCCCTAAGCGGCGCGGTGGCTGCTCGCACAAATAGGCAATCCAAGGTATGCCAAGGAAAAGGGAAGCGAGCACAGCCAACAGGGGGTACAGCAGGCAGCGGTCGAGGCTCATCGGGGACGCGGCACCGCGTCGGCGTGTCCTTCCCGTGCAGCTCCAGACCCACGGGGTAGCGAGGTCTGGGAATGCTCCCACATCCATAAATCACCACGGGCTGCCGAGAAACTCGGGGCGCGAGATTGCTGGCCACCAAGAAGTAGTCGATGGTGGACACTCCATTGGAGGCGACGCAAATAGAGGCCGACGGCTGGAGGAGAGTGCCTGCCAAGGACCCAACCCAGTCGCCAATGTTGATGCTCTGGCCGTCGGCGTTCCAGTCACCCCCGATGATCCAGTCAAGGCCTCGTGCGTTCCACGCGGCCACGCGCTTCGCCAGCGCCCAAAGGATCGAGTGGTTGGCCCCAGTGACGCCGATGTCTTGAACCATGTACACGCTGACGACGATCAGACCACCAGGGACACCCCAGTGACATGAGCTGCCACAGCATGATGTGGAAAGACGACATGATCCCCAACGGGGGGCATCCTGACCATCACGTCGGTAGGCGCGAGCACGCAGACCCCACTGGAGCACGACGCCGCGGACGCTCCTCCCGCCTCCTCGGCGGGAGCCCAGAGGCCGTGCCAACCTGCATCGCGCACAGCAGATTGAACAGCCCCAGGCCTCTGGTCGACCACCCGCGTCTCCTGGACCATCGCTACCCTGCCGAGGAAGCGAGGCAGGAGGTTAAGAAGTGGCCCGTGAGAGCCAGGGTTGACCGTGACCAGCTTGGCCGCCACCTGACAGCGCGCGTCGCCAGCGTCAGGCATGGCCGTGCTGGGACCCTGCGCAAAAGGATCGTGACCCTCTGGCGTGCTTGTGTCGCTGCCGCCAGCTCGGTATCGAGGCGGTGCTTTCCGCCAGTTGCGAAGCACTCCCGCAGACTGGTCAGCCGCCGAATTGGTTCCCCCACCGATGTCGGGGGCACCTGCAGAACCCACCTCGAACAGGGTCATAAATAAGCACCAGAACAGTGCAAAGGTCCATCCGCGCGGGCGCGCCGCACGCGGTGAAGACGCGTGGACTGGAGTGCAGGTTGACGGCGACGGGCTAGAGCAGTAGTGGCCACTGGCGGGAGACCCACTGCGCTCTTCGTCAAGCGGAGGCGGACCCATGCAGCCAGGACCTGACCCAGCAGCAGCGTCTGCCTCCAGGCGGTCTGGCTGGGCCCGGGCGGCGGCCCCAGCGGCGGTCCTGGAGGCCCTGGCGGCGGCCCCGGAAGCCGTCGAGAGGGCCGCGCCGCCCGCGCAGCAATCGGCCGAGTCCCGGCCGAACTCGGCCAGCCCTCGCTCGAGCGGGGGCGCCCCGCGCGAGCTGGCCGCCCCCTGGCTGGGAGCGTGGGCGGCGGGCCTCCTCCTCCTCCTCCTCCTCCTCCTCCTCCTCCTCCTCCTCCTCCTCCTCCTCCTCCTCCTCTGGGCGGCGTCGGCGCCCCCCTCGGCGGCCCTGGCGGGGCCCTGGGCGACCGCGCTCTGCCTCCGGGGGCTGCCCTGGGGAGGCCCCGAGAACCCTCGTGAAATGCCAGGCGCTTCTCGCACGAAGCGTTTGGCTTTTCGCTCGGGTTCTTGCGAGTCCGCGCGGGGCGCCTGGCAGCTACGGAGGGGGGCAGGACGCGGCCCCGGAGGCGCTCCGGGCGGCCCCGGAGGAGCTCTTGGCGGCCGCGGGGGCTGCCCTGGGGGGAAGCCGTGGGGCGGGGCCAGGGTCCGCGGGGGCAGCCCCAGCGGTTTGTCCCTGCACATCGCGCTTGGCCTCGGCCCGTTGCGGCGGGGGCCCCCGATTCTCATCTGGTCGCCGCCTCCGCTTGGCCACGATCGGCGCGATCAGCGGCCTAGCAGCAGCGTGCGCATGGTACGTGCTGGCCTGTGGGCACCCCACTTTAACTCTGACATTCCGCACATGGTACCTCCTGCCCGGAAGGCCCCAGCTGGCAGCCTGCACATGGTACGTGCTGTCAGTGCATGGGGGGCCATGGCTGACATTTCGCCCATGGGACTTCCTGTCAGTTTGATGACCGCACAGCCCGTCACAACAGGCTGACTCATAACACTCACATCGAGTGGTCTGTGCATGGCACGTGCCTTTCGTGTAGTCGCGCTGGCAAGCGCTGCGGACGAGGAGGAGGAGGAGGAGGAGGAGGAAGAGGTGGAGGACGGGGACGAGGAGGGAGGAGGAGGAGGGGGACGAGGAGGGAGGAGGAGGAGGCGCAGTGGGGAGGGAGGAAGAGGAGGAGGAGGGAGGAGGAGAGGATGAGGGGAAGGAGGAGGGGAAGATGAGCAAGGAGGGGAAGGAGGAGCGACCCCATCCCGCGGCCCGTGCTCCTGCGCCCCCGCGGCGGCGACTGGCCGGCTGGGCGCCGCGCACGGTAGACGACGCGCTCCGGCGCCCCGAGCGCGGCCCAGGGGGACATCCCCGGGGAGCACAGTCCTGCGACCGTCTGCAGGGGAGGAGGCGAGGATGATCGAGGAGGGGGGGAATTGAGGAGAAGGATCGATGAGGAGGAGGAGGAGGAGGAGGAGGAGGAGCAAGAGGCGGAGGCGGAGGAGAGGAGGAGGAGGAGGAGGAGAGGAAGGAGGGGGAGAGGAGGAGAGGGAGGAGGAAGAAGGAGGAGGAGGAGAAGGGAAGGAGGAGGAGGAGGAGGGGGAGGAGGAGGAGGAGGAGGAGGAGGAGGAGGAGAAGGAGGAAGATGAGGAGGATCAGTGTAAACCCAAGGGTCATCAACGATGTTGATATTCACCCTCCCTCGTAGCTCCCTCCTCATAGGCCCCATACAACGGTTCATTCCCACTGAGGGACCTGCCTCGTTGGAAAACAACCGTTTGAAGACCCTGAAACATGCCAAAACATTGATCTCAAGATTCCAACGCCACGGGTCAACCTGATTGTTGCGTCTTGACGATCCTGAATCGAGCCAGAACGGCATTCCTGGGACTTCAACACAGCGAATCAACATAACTGTTGCACCCTCATATAATCATGCATCCGTCCAAAACACAATTTCTGGTACGCTGATCAGGGGAATCCGTGAAACTCACGCATTATTTTTCTACCCCCCCGAAAAAAAAACAAACCAAAAACATGCGCGCGTCGCAAGGCGAGAGCCACATTTTGAAAAGTAATCGCCCTCAATCGGTGAAACTCTCGCAAATGTTGAAAACGAATGTCCGCGGCGCTGAGGCTAGAGCCACGTTTTGAAAACGGCCCGCCCTCAATCCGTGAAACTCTTACAACTGTTTAAAACGAATGTGCGCGGCGAACAGGCAATAACCACATGTTGAAAACCACCCGCCCTCTATCTGCGAAACTGTTGTCAATGTGTAACCTTCAGGGTCATAAGTAATAACGAAGCCTCAGGCGAAACGCCAGGCACGCCCTAAGAACTGGCCTTCGGATGCGACAAGGAGCAACTATATATAAGAAAAAAGAATGGAGGAGGAGGAGGAGGAGGAGGAGGAGGAAGAGGGAAGACGAGGAAGAGGTGAAGGAGGAGAAGGAGGAGGAGGACGAGGAGGAGGCGGAAGG